CCTCATGGGTCATCGTCATAATATCATGACTCGCGGCTTGCCTGAGGTGAAAGATTTAGCACACACAGTGGCTGTTTCTGCATGAGAACAAGATGTTGGATCAGATCCGTTGCGGGGGGCATTCTAGAACCTAGTACTTTTATAGCGGCCGCGATTGGTGTGGTTTGAAGTATTTGGGGTCCATGTGTTTGTAGACTTGTGTACGTCGATACTTCGCCAACAACAAAACTTGCAGGTGTACTCGACGCACTTGAGATCGAAGAGTTCATAGTATTTAATTCGAATTTTGAAACCTGCCTTGAAGTTAGCCTACACGGACTGCTGCTGCAGAAGCTTGGGACTGAGCCAGTTCTTTTGCTCTTTTTTATTTTTTGTTTTAGCTAAGCGGTATTGTTGAGCTGTAATGTCAGGTTGTAATGCCTTTCAATTGCGACTCGAAGTCTCGAATCCTATTGAACCACTGGTGCCAAGTGCTTGAATCGGGTCACGACGCCTGTCCGTATGTATGAGGAAGAGTAATGAAGGGGAGGTTGGTTATCCAGTTTTCAGCTGGCAGAATGTCATGCAAGTAAGGGATATCATCTGCGATGCCAAGTGCTTGAATTGGGTCACGACGCCTGTCCGTATGTATGAGGAAGAGTAATGAAGGGGAGGTTGGTTATCCAGTTTTCAGCGGGCAGAATGTCATGCAAGTAAGGGATATCATCTGTGATCCTGCCCAGCTGTGGCTTGTTTCTTCAGAAGCAACAACCTGCACTTTCGACAGTCAACTTGCCGGTCTGCTGCCGGGTACAAAGAAAGGTTCCAGTTGGACACTGGTGCAAGCAAATTGCTGCAAGTCTACTTCAGAATTTAGAGGATTGATTCCTTCAACGGTTATTTGCGCAGGCAATTGCATGTGTGAATTTGAGTCTTATGTTTTGCTTTGTTTTTCTTTTCGTTTTTTTTTTGCGTGTTCTATAATGGTGCCAGAGGAGTCTCCTCAATGATCCTCCTCTGTTTACCCCACATTTCTTTTTTCCCTTTTTTACCCCACAATTCTAGTTTCTGCTCTGGTCGCAAAGATGTCCCTCTTGCAAAGTCAGTGGGTGCTGCTCAGGAGCTTGTTTTTCGAGATGTGACTGCCCTGCGGAGTTCTGGCAATATCTGAATAACCTGCACATGGCATGTGAGCGATGCGCTTTGGGTATTCGATTTGTCGTGTATGCACATGGTGGGCAGTCTCTCCTTCCCCCCCTTATTTCCCCGTTTCCTCCCAGCCGCCCCCCTCCCCCTTGTTTGTGTGTATATTTGTGTGTGTGTGCGTGTGTGTGCACGTTTGCATGTGCGTGTGCGTGCATGTGTGTGTGTGTGTAGCAGCTCAGGTGCATGGCCTGAAATCGTACCTCTCCATCAGGGGGGAGGCCAGTTGCGCTGCCTGCGCATGCTTTTGGGGTAGTGTGAGTACATTTGGAATGCCTATTTTTGTCAGTACCATGGGTAGTTTTAGTTCCCCCCCCCCCGGCCCCCTTAACAAGGCTTCATTCACTATGCGTAGGTTGAATGGCATGTAGAGCTTCTTTCGACAGTCGGCCTCGAGTTGCTTTTTTGGGTAGGTTAGAGTAGCCTGTATTTGTCAGCAGCAGGTGTAGTTTGAATGGAGGTGGTCTCACTCTTGCTCCCATTTCGTCAAGACTCAAGAGGGATAGTGCAGGTATTGCGGATTCTGCCATAATTACATGGCCGCAACGGACCAGGGAGAGGGATCTTGGGGTGCCCTAATCCTACCATCTCCAGGATGAATGGCAAATGGCATGCCCCCCCCATAACCATTCATGAGGCTCCACAGCCAGCGAATTTGGTTCAGTTTTCAGAAGAACTACCGTCTTCCCATAACCATTCATGAGGCACATATGCGTTGTAACCTGTAAACGAACACAACTCAGAATACAACGCATAGCGTGTCGCTATCATGTTCGTTTACTTCGCATATGCGCACCTCAGTGGCTACCACTCAGGACAATCGTCTGGCTATCATGTCGTGGTTGAAGCGATTTGACCGACCAGCAATCGTAGGCACCAGCATTTTAGCAGTTTCCTCTATCCAACACTCTGGTTGAAGCATGTTCGAACCAGCCCCTTGTCACACGAGTATTTCCAACGCCAGGCTCTGATCCTTGTACTTCTACAGGTCCTGCAAGTAGACCCAAGATACCCGGCCCCTAGAAAGAAGCACCCGGGTCCTCAGCGTAGCTGAACGTCTTCCCTTAGCCATCATGAGTAGTGTCCAATGGCCCAAGCCAAGGTCTAACCCATGACAGCCCCTGACTAAACCATGTGCATTCCCCAACTAATCCTGCTCATTCGTTTTTTTTATATGCAATCGTTTTGTCCTTGTTATCCACACACACATGTTGCGAGGGCCGCGGCCTCCTGTCATGAACTGGAATCGTACTAGCAGACCACCCAGTTTCCATCATCAACTGTCCGGGTACAGTATCCTGTCATCAACTTGAATAGTCCTACTACCAGGCCATCTAGTTCCCATCGTCAACTGCCCCGGCGGAAAGTTAGCTATTTGTTTCATAGTTGTTTGCCAAATGTTGCGATATATATATATATATATATATATATATATATATATATATATATATTGTGATGATATATATATATATATATTGTGATGATATATATATATATATACCTCCTGATGAGTCGGTGAAACTCCGACGAAACAGTTTGTCACAGCCCCTCGTTTGTTGTCCTCTTCTCCCTCTCTGCCTACGGTTTACCGGGCAGTTCTATTTGACGATATATATACGATATATATAATGTAAGAATGTATTAACATTTACAGTAGAATATTTAATTAAATTCTTGTCCTCTTCTCCCTCTCTGCCTACGGTTTACCGGGCAGTTCTATTTGACGATATATATACAGTGTTGCACAGCCCGGCGTTCAGCGGCCCTTGACTGGTCGGCTGTCGACGAGCCGACCGGTCAGCTGGTCGGCACCTGCCGGGCGGGGATTGTCGACACCCCGCACAATTTTGTTTTTTTTTGTTTTATGGGTCCAGAACACCTGATAACCCCACCAACACCACTGTGATGTGTGAAAACTCGTGCAAGAGAGAGACTGAGAGAGAACCCCTGCGTGCGCATGCCAGAGAGAGAGAGAGAGAGAGAGAGAGAGAGAGAGAGAGAGAGAGAGAACAAATAGCCCTTAAACATAATCAGAAAACCGCTGTGGGTAATCCTACCTTCTTGCCCCGAATACACAACGTACGGTAAATATAGCTGTATTTGAGCCATCTTTCTGGCTCAAATACAGCTATAATGACCGTATGTTGTAATTGGGGGAAGAAGGTAGATGCCCCTGCAAATAATTAGCAAGGGCTTCCTCTCCACGAAAGTGGCACTTCTCGAACAGATTGCAGGGCAGCAGACACCAACTATATATGGTGCAGATCCGCATTAAACCACCAGTACCTACCGGTTGTTGAGGCCCAATCCTCATTTTTGCCTGCGCGCCAAGTGTTGCCGAGCCTGGAGGGGGCGGGAACCGATTTGGGATACTTTCTGGAGTGGCACTGGTACCGCCCGTCGTTTTCACTCGTGCAGCACCCTGGGCGTGGCGGCCGTGGCCACAAGTGCAGTCAGATACATTCTGGAGAGAGCTGCCATTGTAAAAAAAAAACAGAAACGGGAAAACGAACTATATGATATGATTACCTTGAATTCACATGTAGAAGGCCGCAATTGCAGGGATGATACACTCTCGACTGTGCTTCCCGTGCTCGGCCATATGCATTCAGTTTTGGGCAGGCAGTTGAATGCTCCCCGTGAGAAACGGGGAGTCAGCGCATATACAGTCAAGATCTTTGGTCTTTTTTTTAGTTGTAAGAAAACAAAAAGGAGAAAACAAGTGCACTATGTGATTGCCCCAGATTCATGTGTGGCGGGCCACAGATGCAGGTAGATACATTCTGAAAGTTGTAATAGTGGAGTGCCCCAGACGTTACTTTTGTGGCAGACACTCCAACGATCCCATTTCTAACGCGGAGTGGCCGAAGATACAGCGAAGATTGTTCCTTTTTTTTTTTTTTTTGCGAGACAAAAAAACAAAAGCAGGAAAACACTGCAGGCCACAAGTGCGGGAACATACATTCAGAAAGTGTGTGGAGACCAGAAGTCGCTATTCTTTGCAGTTTTCTTTTTCTTCCCTCATTGCACCCGCGCATGTGGAAACACACGTGATGAACCCGTGCAGATTGCATCCCTGCGTCCTCTTCATTTTCGTTGGGCCCACCCACTCCCTCTGCCATCCCAGTACCCAGCCTGTGCCGAACCCCGAAAGTCGCGGCACGTTAACGGCCGCGTCGGTTTTTTTTCAGCTGGGCGAGGTACTGGTGGTTTAAGGCCCATGTTTCAGCAGTTATGGGAGCACAAAGCACGTGATTATCTGGGCAGTAGCAGGCCAACTCACCACGTGATTTTGGGCTTCCCTCGACTACTCACCCAATGTGCAAAACTAGAATGAATCATCTGCTAGAACATGGAATCATATGCCGCCATATGTTTTGTCTTTTGTGCACATGGTGAGGAGTGGAGCCAGGCCCTTAGGGCCACTGCTCGTAGGAAAAGGAAAAGGAAAAGAAAGAAAGCGAGAGCTACGGCAGTAAGTAGTTGTAGCCCACAACTGCTGGAACATAGACCTGAATACGGATCCAGAAGATATATTGCTGGCCTGCTCCTCATTCATCCGAAATTCGTAGAGTTTCTCCACTGAGATATAAGAGCCCTGCATATTATCTGCTGGGGGGCCTTCAAAAGAAAAGCTATATGCAATGAGGAATATGGGGCCCTAATGTTTTTTTCTCTGCCCTTAAAATCTGTAGAAGGGAGGGGCATGTCTGGCTACCTCAGCCACCCCCAATACCCATATACACCCCCTCAACACCTCCAACTTGCCCCCCAACACCCTCATTACTCCCTCCGATACCCCTTATACCCCCCTGCGAACCCCCCCTACCTCCCCGCATCCCGAAAAGTTTCTAAGCGGATTTGGGCTGTACTCAGCGAGCGCAGTACAGCCGGTAACTCAGATTTGAAAAAAAAACAGTGGATGGCTGTTGTCTGACCGGTCGGCAGACCGTTGACTGGTGGTCGACAGGTATGCAACCCTGTATATACCACGACTTCTCTAGCACCCTGCTACCGTTTTCTCAGGTCAGGTCGAGCGGCAGTGGTCGGGCCGTCACTACGCGACCATGCTGTGCCTCTAGTGCCAGCGGCGTGTCTGAAGTCTATTTTTTGGCTGTGACAGACCTTTCTTTGTTTCGTCTGTGTTTTGCTGGTTTGTGATGGGGTGTGAACCGACAGTCTGTAGAGTTTTCCATCTGGCGTGGGTGAGTGATAGTCTGCTTTGATTTTGGTCACGGGTACCTTGAGGGCAGTGGTTGGTGCCCACCTCAAGGTATCAGTTGTCGGGCAGTCGTTGATGCTTAACCAAAACCGGGGTTGAGGTGGACTATCACTTACAGTGTAATCAGTTAGGGGATTCTGGAGACTGTTGAGGGTTCAGCCTCCTGATGAGTCGGTGAAACTTCGACGAAACAATTTGTCACAGCCCCTCGTTTCTTGTCCTCTTCTCCCTCTCTCTCTGCCTACGGTTTACCCGGCAGCTCTGTTTGACGATGTATATACACAACCGGGGTTAAGGCGGATTATCACTTAGTGTAATCGGTTAGGGGATTCTGCAGACTGTTGAGGGTTCAGCCTCCTGATGAGTCGGTGAAACTCTGACGAAACAATTTGTCATAGCCCCTTGTTTGTTGTCCTCTTCTCCCTCTCTGCCTACGGTTTACTGGGCAGCTCTGTTTGACTATATATATATATATATAAATATATATAGATATGAAAGTGACATTATGCAAGCCATTAAACAATTTTCCAGGGAACGGCTGGGAGGGATGGCAGACTACTCCACATTCGATGG